ATCGTCACCGCTGTCGACAATGAACATACAAACCATATGTAAAAAAAATGTTTAGTGTGTGGTTCATGAATTATGATTAATTGAAAATATTGGGAAAATTAATAAATCACCCTGTATCTTGGTTATGAAGAATGACGAATCTATGAAATATGGATTATTCAGAAGCTCCTTGGTGTCCTCCATCTACTCTCACTGTATGCGCACAATGAATCACCCTGTGTAGTCATATGTATCTAGATGATAATGCAAACTGAGCTTTCCTTGTTTCATTATTGCCCCAATGACTCTGATAAAGATGATAACATGCTCCTGAATATAACAATAATCAGAATATTGGTAAAACCCATATAACTATTATTCATGGCTGCCTGTAGTCTGGTGGCCCATAACAACGCAAAGACAGGTCAGGCCCGTAATGAAACTTTCAGTGTGCGAAGACCTGTCCTAAGTACAGGGTGGGGCAGAAAAACCTATCCGATTTTAAAACGTTATAAAATTAAAACCACTCAACTTGACAAAAAAAATATCGCAAATTTTATGCCATTTTTAAATTCAAGTTTTGAAAAGCACATCACTTAAATGTCGTCCTTGGGAGCGGATACACTGATTTAGGCGCTCGCGGTAGCTTTCCATGACATTCACCAACATTTCCTCAGGAATTTCTTCAATTGCCCGAGCAATTTCCCTTCGTGAAGCAAAAAGGGTCCTTGGTCGATGCTGGAATACCTTCGCTTTGAGGTAACCCCAAAGGAAGAAGTCACATGGAGTGAGATCCGGTGAGCGCGGCGGCCAGCCAAGATCACCTCTCAGAGAAATGAGGCGTCCAGGAAACATTTCCCTGAGAATGCCCATTGATCGTCGCGATGTGTGGGCGGTTGCACCATCCTGTTGAAACCACAAATTTTCCACGCCAACTTCTTCCTTTTTGGGTCGAAGAAAATGTTCCAGCATGAAACAATAGCGCTCGCTGTTGACCGTTACGGTTTGCCCATTTTCTTCAAAAAAGTAAGGCCCCCAGACGCGTAGGCGGGAAACAGCACACCACACAGTCACTTTTGGGCTATGGAGAGGTTCCTGATGGATTACCCGAGGATTTTCCTCACTCCAATATCGAAAATTCTGCCTGTTTACGGCGCCACAAAGATGAAAATGGGCTTCGTCCGTGAAGAGCACAACATCGTCGTTTGGTAGTTCTCGGAGATCGCGACAAAGGTTCGTACGGGTTTCAAAATCCCTTTCACTTAATTCCTGTGCAACAACCATTTTGTAGGGATGCATTTTGAGGTCCCGGTGAAAAATTCGCAGAATACTGCGGTTGGAAATCGCCAAAGCGAGCGAATGTTTTCGCGAGGTCCTGTTGCTGTCCTGGGACGTCCAGGCGATTTCTTTTTCAATGCTGATCCCGTCTGTCGGAAATTTGACACCCACACTTTAATAGTAGCGTATCATGTATAACATGAGTTATAAATGGTATACCTACTCCTTCTGCAGCCATATAAATTTTTCTGAATCTATCCTTCAGTGTTGCTGTTTCAGAATTTCAATTGGTACTAGAAGTCATTCCGAAATTGTACTAAATTCAAGTATATTGTACTAGGTTGAGAAAATAACATTTCAAAATGTACTATTCACTAAATTGATGAAAAACTTCATATTGATTTATTAAAAATTTGGAATGATAATATATAGCACATTAAAACACCTCTTAAAAACGTCATGAAACAATTATAACTAATAAAAGCCGAAAATAAGAGATGAAAAGGAATAGATTAGATTACAGATTGAGATCAAATACCATCATCCAATCAATAAGATAAAATATAGTTGACTCAAACTTCAAAGTCAAATCAATTCATCGTCACCACTGTGTAGCTTCATATTGTTTCTCCGTTGAACTGGAAATCATGGACTTTCTATCAATGAGGGCTTCATTGAGATTCCAATTATAACATATCTTCTCCAAATAATTGTTTTGTATACAATAATAGCTTGGGCTATCCCATGGGGCTATCCGGTTCTTGTTTTTGTACTAGATTAGTGTTAATTGTAGTAACGTACTGAATGTATATAGAATTTAATAGAAAAGTAATATAGTACTAAAAACAGCAACTCTGCTATTCTTTCGATACAAATTAGTAGTGAGCAGCTGGGGAGGGGGAAGGTAATTCGTGGTGCGGGGAGGGATCAAGTTCATTTCGACTCTAAAAAAATGCTCGATTGCAAGTCGGTAATATAATTCAATGAATACGTGAAATCACATTATTGTTGATCGTTTTCTCAATTTCTCCATTCGAAGACTCTCTATAATCCGCGACGTTTCCGCAGATTAGATTTTGTCTGACAACGCAAGTTTGAGAAAACATGTCAAAAACACCTTCAAAAATTTGTTTAAAATCTTGGTTGTCATGCTTTCGAATGTTTCGATTTTGTCGCTGAAAAGGTTAGAGCAAACTTGTTCGCTGGTGGTTCGCTGTCATAATGACTAAATCACAGCGGCTTACGGGATTTTATATATATGTCGGCGTCAAACAGTGAAATCCGTCATTCTCTGGAATGCCTAGTCATTTCACGTATTTCCGGTTTGGTTTGAATAGGGACACCCAGTATATTATTCCATATTCAAGTAGAGTTCATTATTACAAATTCAACAATGCCGGGTTTGAATGGTTTATTTCAAACGACTACGAAGATATGGCAAAAAATAAAACGATTCAATAAAAGTTTATATGATTAGATCTTATTAAGAAATAACACGAATTGAAATCGGATGAAAAAAAAACTTCAACTGCTCAATATGTCGTCCATGCTGCTGTAAACATTTCCTAGCTCTTTTGATAACGTTCATTGTGACCCTATGTATCACGTTGCCATCAATTTGTGTGCATAAATTTCTGATTTCCTCTTTCATTTCTTCCATATTCACAATTGGCGACTCATGAACCTGTTGTTTCAAGTAGACCCACAAATAAAAATCAAGTGGGGTGAGGTCTGGCGGCCAAGCTGGCCAGTTGCTATCACCATCGAGACAATTGGTGGTTATTAGATTTTCTCCAAACACGATGGCGAAGATAATCCTTTACGGGTATGTAGTTATGTGCAGGACACCCATCATTCGATTTCAATCGTGTTATATTAATAAAATCTAATCATATACATTTTTCATTGAATCGTATTAATTTTTGCCATAGTCGTTTGAAAGAATCTCATTAAACCCGACATTGTTGAATTTGTAATAATGCACTCTACTTGAATATGGAATAATATACTGGGTGTCCTTATTCATATAAGAAAGTTGAGGTGCACTTTGGTGTGGCCCTGTATACCTAGGATTTATTCAATAACATATTTCGAGTGAGCATCATCAAATTTCAAGTCATTCGATTGCGCGGTTTTACAGGGGGGGGAGGCATTCTAGCTGGAACACGGTGTATATCTTGGTGAATATCAGGAAACGTCAATGTTCGTTCTAATTTCTTGTTCTTGAAATCTCAGAACATTCAGCGCACCTTGTGAGAACAATATAAAAATATTCAAATAGAGAATATTCCAGGAACATTTATAGAGCCACCTTGTGCTGTATGGGATTTATTATTTCATACCTACAACAACTCGTCTTGATTTTATAGATTTTCTCTATCTACCATTTGCCAATGTGATATTCCCTATGAATCGCACCCCAGATAGCGCAATGTCATTCATAGAACGTTCATAGAATGTTCATAGAATATTCTTCGAGAATATTTTAATATTCTCAGAATATGCTCACAATATGATACATATATTCTAGGAATGTATGTATTTGGAATGGACTGTTCTAAATATTCCTAGTATATTGAAGAATAATAAAGGACGAAATTAAAAAAGGTTTGTTCCGGTGGAGATGCGAACCTACTATCTTGTTATTGAATTTTCACGAACCTGAAACCTTAACCACTTCGTCGGTAACCTTAATGATAAATAAAATGAATAAAGAGATGACAACACTGAATTATAGTGGGATAATCAGCATTGAGGCTAGAGAATATGTCAGGGTGAACATTATAAATATTGATACAAGAATAAGATCATTTATTTTGATACGATTCTGAATATTCTCAGAATATGTCAAAATGAATGTTCATAGAATATTCGCTGCAGGATGAGAATATTCTATGATCATTCTGAGAACATTCTATGCGAAATTCTGAAATAAGTACTTATATTTGAACGTTGTCAGAATATTCAAAGAATATTCTGTGCTGTCTGGGACTGTATGTTTTATCAATTCCCCAATACTAGTTAGTTTTGTTTCGGTAAAGTTGCATTTATCATGCGATAGGTTTTTTTTAGGTAAATTTTTTTTGGTACTTGAGTATTTTTGTCCGAAAAACACGAATTTGATAATGAAACTGTGAACAAACCAATATTGATTAAGATATTTCACTATAAAGGTTCAAATTTCACCTTCTTTTCCGCCTGTCTTCTGGGTCGCATTTAGAATAATTGGACAATTTATATATTATTAAGTGTATGAGTCAACTAGAAATATGATTCTCTTGTGATTTATCCATATTTAGTGAAAAGAAGGAAGAATATCATTTAAAATATTGGCGTGTGTAATTTCATTCAAAAGCATCTGTTGACATTTGACATCTCTTATTTGGTATGGTATGCTTGTTCACTAAATATGAAAAACTCGCCATAAAAATCGTATGTCCAGTTGAATTTACTATAAAAAATGTTCAATGACAAAATAAGAAGAGCAAGTAGCTGTAAATGCATCCAACACAAGAGGAAACTTTTTCTTGAAATATCTCGATAAATAGTGGTTTGTTCACATTTTCATCATCAAATTCTTGTTTTTCAGACAAAAATACGTAAGTACCAAAATATAATACGAAAAAAAAACCATCGCATGATAAAGGCAGTTTTACCTTTGTTTCTGCTACTACGCCTCTGCCTAACCGCCTGACCACAATCGGAAGGTATTATTCTTTGGCGAATTTTTTGATAAGTATACTATGTACGAAACCAATGCGATAAGCGTATATCCCCTATGTACTGGACGGTTGTATTATTGTTGCAATCGTACCTACGACACCACGGTGTTTTATCAATAAACATAATCGATTCCTGTTCGTTTTGACAGTGGCGATAAGAAGTATGCGAATTCTTTAAATGTGAAAATTTTGTCGTGTTAGTGTTAAATTATTGCCGTTTCTTATGACTATTTTGCTATCAGGAAATTTGCGGTAAGCTATTTTCGATGTTTATTATAATAAAAAGGGGCTTAGTCTTAGTCACAATTATGAGGTAAACTAAGGGTCTGTTAATATAGGTAATACATTATATTATTTTTGATCAATATTTGATTTCGATTCAACATAGGCACCAATATAATTATTTTGATATGCTGTACAAATTCAATTGTGACTCATAATTTCAGTCAATTTTTTAAGAGTGGAATAGGCATTATAAACTAGGTACCTACACATATTTTCACGTAAAACTATAGAAGTACCTACCTATTCGGACTAGTTATTTTTGTATGTAGTGCGCGAATAAATGCTATACTTTGGAGATCAAGATCTTATTATATAAATAGCCGAGATGCCCAAAGTAATTCGCGCACGAGTTGCAACCAATATTTTTTCAACAAACGTAAAAAATATAGTTCTAGAGTAGTAATATGATTAACTGAATGTAAAAAATAGTGTTGAATTGGCTTAAAATGCCTCAATTATTGTTGAAACCCAGAAATAAATGAAGTATATATACTTCGCGCACTTCTTCGCACATGGTGTCGTGGTAACCTGGTAACGTTAACTGAAAAAATGTGTCACTCTGCATATTCTTATCAATGCGCAAATCTTGTCATTTTTTCACGTTTGTAGAAAAAATATAGTTATTTATTATACAACGGAAAAAAGTAGTAGATTTTAGCTCCAGGTTGTGTTGTCTCCCGACGCGTAGCGGAGGGAGACAAAAAACCGTGAGCTAAAATCTAATATTTTTCCCGTGTAAAATTCACTTTTATTTCTGTGACAGAAGAAAGGACGAATCAATATCGAGAAGATATCACATTATTTTGAAAAATGAAAATTATCGACGTGAAATTTCAAGTTTTTAACAGTAGGGACACCTGCGTTGCAGGCATCTTTATCATTCTTTTGAAGTAATCAAATATCTGATGTCACATCTGTCAGTCTAATTCTGTGATTTGATTTCAAAAAATTGCGAATTTAGTGGTTGTTTAGTAATATACGTAACCGCGAAGTCGAATGGAAGCAGATAAAAGGACTTGCAGTTCTTTCTCGGAGACGGTATTATTGGCTCATTTTTCGGAACAATTGTACAACAAAAGCCATCAACAGTGTATATATTTGTGATATATATCTGGGAAAAAAGTACTCTTTTCCCACGGGAAAAAAGTAATTTATGAAAAGTGACATTTTATAACCTGCCAACAGAGATGAAATGCCAAACTTTTTTCCCGTCACAGAAAAAAATCAATTATTCGATTACGTATACCTACGGCACAACTAATGAAAACTAGTTTCCACTACTGATCAATAAAATCAATGAAAGGGAATAGAAGCAGGGCACTTTGAATCCCTCATTGAAGAGACTAAAGTGGCACTTTCAATCCCTCAGGAATCAAAAGTCAATATAGACATATTTACTCAAAGGTAGCAACGCATTCAAGGCACCTAAAATTGAGTTACTTTGAACGGTTTTTTGTATCTGTATATATTAGGTAAGGCAGCAAATGAAAAATCCCTAAAATATATATATATCTTGGGCGCCAGTTAGAGCTTTCTACTGACAAAAAAATTAGATAGTAAAATGATCAACAACAATTTGTTTTCATTAATTTATGGGTGTTCAAAGTTACCCGACGATCGGAGACACTTTGAAGTACTCCCAGCGAGCACAAAAACATCTCAAAGATGTTAAAAGTACGAGATTTCGAGACATTGAACCTCCACTGCGATGTTCTGTTCACATATATGAATAGAACTATTATAGAACAGCCAATGTCCGCCGCAGGCGGCAATTATCGAGATGTCCTTGATATGTCACAAAACTACCTTCTCCCTAGTTCTTTTTAAATCCTTTTCATGGACACAACAAAACATTTTCAACGCGTCTTGCGCACATTAAATCGCTGTGAAAAAACCATTTTCGAGGTACTTTTCTGAAGCCTTTTGTCAAAATGAACTTTTGCATTAGGATTCCATTTCCCTTGAATGAAAAAATGCATTAAAAATAGATTGAACATAGAAATATTTTCTTAATCGGTTTCTGAGTAGTGATGCTTACTACACACAGACATAATTGGAAATAGGTTTCCCAATTTTTGAAATGTTCTCCGCAATGCATAATTTTGCAACTGCGGAGAAGCTGTGTATTGATAAATTCGTACTTTTATATATTGATTACACTGAGGCACCGAACAACACATCTTGCATCTGATGGTCATTATTACAAACTAAATAAGTCTTCTAACACAATAAACTTCACCAAATTCCTTTCTGTTCGTTAGCAGCGTGATGTAAGCGTGACACGCTGCAAACGCGAATGCCAATTGCGAACAAGAAGAACAAAATCGAAAACAAATCAGAATTCATCGTATTGTGACGTAAGCATGAGACGTTGTGGTGGGGCAAACAAAGAAAGGGCACAAAAGAACAAAAACAATACTTTCAATATCCTTCTAAGGCCTCTTTGGGAATTGCATATTACGCCTCAAAAAAACATCCTCATGCCTACATTTCTAAAACATCCCAAAACATCCCAGGGATACCTCTCAGTAGGCAAACAAAGAAATGCCACAGAAGAACAAAAACAATACTTCAATATCCTTCAAAGACCTCTTTGGTCAGTGCATATTACGTCTCAAAATAACATCTTCATGCCAACATTTTCAAAACATCCCAAAACAACCCAAAGTTACCCCACGATCAGGATACGTTGAACCACTATTATGGTGAAACCATGGGATTCCAATTCAACCTTCCTTGGAGTTATTTCTTGAACACCTCAATACTAAAATATCTTTGCTTCTGAAAAAAAAATATGCAACAGAAATACACAAAAGCTCAGAGTCATTTCCACACAATGTCCATAAAATGAACAACATTGGTAGATTTATATAGTAATATAATAGTAATATTCCAACAAAATATAGTATAACACGTTCGAAGAAACCCAGATCCTTCCCCGATGACTAATCACATTGTTCTGATACATAATTTGCTACAATAATGTATATAGTTGTTACATTTGTAGCGACTTATGGCTACCATACTGAACGTCGAACGTGGGTTTTGTGGTTTTGCAGGGTAGAAATGACATGTTAGGATTTCCAATTTCCGAAAAAATATTTGTACAACAAGTGTTGCCATCGGTACCGTTCTTGAATGTGTGAGGAATGAGGGCTAATATTTTCAGTCTCACCATCAGTTGGCGCTACTAAAACTGAGGTCAATGTCAAAGTCAAAAATTCCAAAATTTTGTCGGATAGTATGTAGTAGAGAGTAGAGTATTTGAACAAATAGAAATCCACAAGTTATGGAAAGACTTGAGCAGACTTACGTCTCAATGTGGAACTTCAGGACGAATTCTTACATTAATGGAGAAGAAGATATCGTAGGAACCCAGCGAGCACATCAAATACATCTCAGAGATGTTGAAATTACGAGATGTTGAGACATAGAACCTCCACTGCGACTTTCTGTTCATACAGGAATAGAACTTTCATAGAACAGCCAATGTCCGCTGCATGCGGCGTTTATAAAGATATCCTTGGGATGTCACAAAAATACATTTTCCCTGGTTTTTTTGATAGACTTCTTATGGACATAACATAACCTTTCCCAAGCGTTTTGCGCACATTCATTCGCTGCAAATAAAACATTCCTGGTGGATATATATTTAAGAAGAAAAGAATAAAATTAAAAAAAGCTCTTCCCCGCTGGGGATTCGAACTTTTTACAATCCTAGCACCTTGTCCACTGAGCCATGGGAACCGTATTGATGAATGGTATGAATAGAAAGATGTCAACATGCACTTAGTAAGATAATAATTATTAGCATTGAGGCTGAGAATAAGGGTGAGTCAGAAGAAACATTATAAATATTGATACAAGAATAACATCCATATCATATTTTGATACGATTCTGTATGTCGAATTGAATGTTCATGGAATATTTGTTGCCAGGATGAACATATTATTCTATGATCATTCTGAGCAGAACAGAACACGTTGTCAGAATATTATTCGTAAAGTATATTCTGGTGCTGTTTGGGATATACTATTACGAATTATGGAGGTCGTTGGTATTAAAACTAATAGGTACCTAATGGAATGAATAAAAAAGACACTGCAAATGCGAATGCGAATAAAAACAACATGCAAAATCGGAAAAAAATTAGAATTCATCGTATTGTGACTTGAGCATGAGAAATTGTGGTGGGGAAAAAACAAAGAAATAGCTCAAAAGAACAAAAACAATAATTTTAATATCCTTCAAAGACCTCTTTGGGAAGTTATATTCAGTCTCAAAAAAACATCAGCATCCCAATATTTCTAAAACATTCCAAAACATCCCAGGGATACCTCTCAGTAGGCACACAAAGAAATGCCACAGAAGAACAAAAACAATACTTTAATATCCTCCAAAGACCTCTTTGGGAAGTCATTAACGTCTCAAAAATACATCCTCATGCCAACATTTTCAAAACATCACAAAACATCTCAGGGATGTTTGTGCTCGCTGGGAAGAGGCCAAATGCTCTGGCCTCACGTTTCAATGGTGCGATTTGGTGGACAATAAATAATGTTAGCCCTCTATATTGAGTGGTGAAAACTAACTGTCGATAAACTTAATGGTTATTTCACTATGAGTTAATATAAAAATAGTAATTTACGTATTCCGGAAAATATTGTTATTTTGAATTGACTCGGCCGTTACTTGATGGAAATCCATGATAAATGAAAAAACTTCACGAATCTTATCGTTTGTGAAGTTTTTACAATATTGTTATTGACTGCGGGTCTGTTATCGGACGTGTTGCGTAGAACAACGAATCAAAGGAAAAAGGGGCTATGTTTACATTTTCCCTCACCAAACTAGTGCTTTTCAACATTTCACAGTTCCAGATTTTTGTGCCAAATAAGCCAAAATTACATCCTCTGCTAAGCAGATGCAGATGATAGTACCCTCCATACTGCGTTCTCTTCCAGAA